AAAGTTTTCTGTTGTAGCGTGCCGAATGAATAAATTTTAGGTAGCGTACTTATAATACATATAAAAATACCTTTCAAACGAGATGCTGCACAAGTCTGTAGCTTTAGTAGTATAGAAGTTACGGTTTTCCGAATTTTAGCTATTTATAGCTGTTTTCCCGCTAAACTAGCGAGTTTTTCCAAAAGTGGTAGAACAAAAGTTTTTTATATCGATGTGATGAACGTCATATAAAATTTTCAAAACTTAAAAAACATGTTTTGGACAAACTGACAAACTGACAAACAGAATTTAATTTTCATTTTGGGAAGACGTAGAAAATCTTATTTTGGCTATAACTTTTGAACGGAGCGTCGGATTTTATCATATGACCCCTCATTCGACGGGTATTTTCAATAGGAACACAAATAAAGCATTGCGAGGGGGCATATATCCCCCCGGCCCCAACAGCTCCAAATTTCGAAATTTGCACTTTTTCACTTTCACTGCTCTCTCTCCCAAGCCAATTGATTTTCTTAAAGTCTTGGTATGCAATCCTTTAAGTTTTTGCAATACCTTTCGATTGGTGTATTACTCATTACGATCGGACTATCACAGCAGATTTTCAATTTTGCGGCTATATAATAGTAGTCGCCTTCGCACACTCTCCTGGTGCGCTTCGTCACTACATGGACTGCCGTCCATAGTGATATTGAATATTTTTTTGTTCCTTAAAAAATAGTTTTTTTGAAGTCGTTTCGCTATCAGTCTCTCTGTTTTGAAGCTTTCGAAATGAAACTTTTCCAAAAGTCTTCTTTCTATTGCAGGTAGTGTATAAGTCGGAACGGGCCGGATCGGACAACTATTTCTTATAGCTCCCAAAGGAAGGATCTTAAAAGTAATTGGAAAAAAATTATAGCTTCGATGTTTTTTGACATATAGCCTCCTACGCTTGGGAATAACATTTGCTTATTAATTTTGAAATTCGAATTTAATTTTATAAACATCGCACGACCATATAATATAGCTGCCATAGGAACAGTTAGTATAAAAGTCGCAACTGATCGGACAACTATATCTTACAGCTCCAATAAATAGGATATGAAAAATAATTGTACAAATTAAAAAAAAATATATAGCTTTGGTGTATTTTGAAATATTATTGGATAAACTTCCGTTTAGCTCCTACCCCTAATTTTTTCAAACTTTTCATATTGACGTGTTTTTGGGTCCTGATTACGGGAAAAATAGCCAAAGTTGGCGCAAATAACGGGATCTTGAAAAATAACGGTAAAAATCTTAAAATTTTCGGCTTTTTGCAGTTTTTTCGGAAAATAAAAGAAAAATCAAAAAATGTTTTAGACAAAAACAGAAGATATTTATAAAACGGATCTATTGTGTATTAATCATTTTCTTCGTAAACATAAAGGTTTGCGAGGAAAAACTAAAAGAAGTATTTTAAATTGGGTTGAACATTTCAAAATACTGCAATATCCCGCCATAAAATGGCGACAGATAGTTTTCGATTAGTCGATAACAGCATTTTACCTTCTACTCTAGTGATGGACCTATTTTGCCTTTTTATACGATGTATCGTGTTCATGCTCCTCGAAAAAAGGAAATGGAACGGATGACCTGAATGAAAGGTGCATAAGCTTTTAAAGAAAGTAGGTAGGTAGGGGAGAAAAAAGCGCCGCAAGCAAAAATTTTTTTAAACAAAAATCGCGGCGGTTTTTGTTTAAAAAAATTTTTGCCTGCGACTTAATAAATGATTTATATGTATTTTTTGTTAATACATATTATTTCCGTTGTATAATTTGTATTTTATTTTGTTTTCTAAATGTTATACTTAACTACGATAACTGAAATGCTCTTCCTAAAAAATGTAATGCCATTCTCGTGCTTAGGTAGTATCATCGCTAATACATCGAGAGACATCGATATAAATTTTGACACACCGATACAACATGAAGAACATGAAGAATAACGTGGATTTTGAAAGTTTGAACGAAATCGGGGGTTTGGAGCTAAACGGAAGTTCACCCATATTATTTTCTACTTTTGGGAATATAATTTTATTTCTGAATTTTGATAATAATTTTGAAAAAATCGGAAACTAATTGTAAAAATTATAGCTTTCTTGATTTTGTTGAATTCTTTTCTACTCTGTAATATAGGGGAGAGTGGGGCAATTATGTCACCTGCAATATCTCGGAATCCATAAGTCGTAAAAATATATAATTATACCCGTTACTCGTAGAGTAAAAGGGTATATTGTATTCGTGCAAAAGTATGTAACAGCTAGAAGGAAGCGTTTCCGACCCCATAAAGTATATATATTCTTGATCAGGATCACTAGCCGAGTCGATCTAGCCATGTCCGTCTGTCCGCCTGTCTGTCCGTCTGTCTGTCTGTCTGTCTGTCTGTCTGTCTGTATGAACGCTGAGATCTCGGAAACTATAAAAGCTAGAAGATTGGCATTTTGCATGAATATTCTAGGAGCTCCTACGCAGCGCAAGTTTGTTTCAAAAAGGTGCCACGCCCCCTCTAACGCCCACAAGCCCCCTTTAACGCCCACAGTTTTGAAGCTATTATGAAAATAGTAACTGATATGTATTCGCTTCGTCAATACCTATCGATTGGCCAAGTAAAAAATTGCCACGCCCACTCTAACGCCCACAAACCCAATAAACGCTTAAACCTGGCCAGCGCCTACATTTCCACCTTTCATGACCAGTAGTACCAATATCTGGCGGTAGATGGCGCAATACAATATACACTAGCGCCATCTAGGAAATGGCATTGGAAAAAATCTGCGTTTTTTTCTGTGGTCACTCTAATTCACATTATGTTAATGCAAATTTTAAATTATTTGAAATGCGGCGCGCATTTTGTCTCTTTTTCTCGTATACGTTTTTCACAAGTGCTTTCACCTGCGCTAGAGAGAGACGGAAGATGTGCTAGGCAGAATTGAAAGTTCTAGAAAGCGTCTTCTAGAAAGAGATCCCTGGGTAAAAATCGAGCGGCGAAAAACATATAAGAAGGCATATTTCTATTAAGTTGTTTAGCTGAGTAACGGGTATCTAATAGTCGAGGCACTCGACTATAGCGTTCTCTCTTGTATTTTTTTGTTTTAGTCCTTCAAGACGGCATGACACAACCAATGCAATTTTTTTTGCACAGAAGGTCAAGATAATTAAGCTATAATATTAAATGTGTTTTAATAGTTCAAAAGCTATATTTAGTTCTCGACGAAATTTTTTCTGTATGCCACAATTAAAAAGGGATAAGATACAGTTTTTTTTATATAATACACAGTGCTATAATGTGCATTTAGTGATTTAGTGATTTTTAACTTCGCGCCTAATTTCGGAAAAAAAAATAATTATTTCTAAAAAAGTACTGTGTGGGGAAATTTCGCCACCATATGCTAAGGGTAAATTCGCACCTATTTTAAATACATATTTTTTTATTTGACGAGCTGGCTAACGAACAGACTACCAGCAGCAGCAACAAATATAAGACGTCACCAAAAATGGTACGCTTGATCAGTGTAGCATATTTACAGGCGTTAAACTCCCTACATTTTTCAGGTGACGAAATTGCCTCAGTGGTGTGGCGATTTTACCCCCCTATGTGGCGAGATTGCCCCAGTATATTGGTTTTACTTTTTAATTTTTTATAAATCACCAAGGTAATAAAAAAAATTGGGGAATGCCACATTTTAAAGCTTGGTGCTAAGCGCATTCATATTTTATTTTTTCAGAGCTTGGAATTAAGTTTAACGAAAATCGGACTTACTATATACAGCTGTGACCATGAAAATAGTAGTGCACTTACTTCTTAAAAGTTTTGCTGTGGCTATTCGGATTCTTTTGTTAGATAAGACTATATAGAGTAGAATTCAGCCAAAACCCGATCCAAATTTTGGTTTATACCACTTTTTAAAAATTATGTCAAAATTCGGCCGCTCATTAAAGCAGAAGTGCCAGCGTTAATGACTAAAACAATATTAAAACTTAAGTTTTTATTTTCAATTCCTATTCAAAATAATGTTTTTGTATTATAAAGTGCCATTTAAATAACATCCACTAATTTTTATAGCCGATACTATCGGCTAATATATCGGTGGCAAAGCGATTGCTGGAACACTATTAAAAAAAGGCGTTTTGTTGGCATACTATATTCTTCAAGCATTTTCGACACTTAATTGGCGGCTGGGCAAAACAAACCCCTATGCTCACTTAATAGGGCGCTGCCGACCTATGCCTACAAATTTCCAAAAAGTACCTATAAGCAACATTTTTCAAATATACTTGGTTCTGACACTTTTGGCCATGACTTACTTCGGTATCTGGCCGAGGTCTAGACTTGCATAAAAAAGATATAGGTTTTATGGCAACTTGGTTTTGCTGTACTGTTCTTGGTGGTATAACTTAACTTTTTACTGCACAACATTATTAAATCAGTTCTTTATGAAATATTTAATCTAATAATACACACATTTAGTTCAATTTTTTAATTTTGCAAAAAAACGATAGGACCACCCAACTAGGCGCACACTTCTGATCCTAAATTATTGGTTTATAAACGTTCTAGCCGGTAAATTGTAGATTTTATGATAAGTTTCTACTCTTAATAGTGTTAAATTAATCAAAAAGGTACAAAATGATTTTAACATGTAGTTGTTTTTGCATTTCAACCACCACATTTTATTATTTTTTGTTATTACCGTTTTTATGTTTTTCCCAAAGGATAACGACAGTGTATGATCGTCCAGCTAAAAACTTTTGCCGATCTAAAACATTGCGTTTTAATATTTCTTTAGTCATTTGGTTCCGATTAATGTGTTTTTGCGGGGATAATATCGTATTTTAGTGGAAGAAAAAGACAAACAAAATAAAAAAACAGGAACTATAAAATATTACTAATTTTATTATTTTTAATATTTTTAATTTTCTCATATGCCGTAAAATTGGATCACGGAAAATATCTTCGTAATATAAAATTTGAATTCGGTAAAATTTCATTGAGAAACGTATTTAATGTATATCTATTTTATTTACAGTTATTATACATTAGTTTGTGTTACTTATCGGTATTTAAATATTTACTGAAAATTTTCAAATTAAAAACATAAAAAGTTTTAACAATAGAATGTAACAAAAATTCATATTGCAAACGCAATTGATTCTTCTTATATTAGTATATTTCTTTTAGTCCTGGCAAACGTACAATTAACCAACAGTGCTGTGATCTGATCAAAAGTGACTTAGTATACACAACACAAGATTATGATTAATTGATAATTTTTTTTAATGTATTTTATTTCGCTACACGCTTTTACATTTTCTTTTTTTGTTTTGGAAATGCTATCACACAGCGTGAGTGAAAAGTTGAATTTATTCAAGCAAAACGTAAGGCAGAACAATTAAGGGCTCATTGTTGTACGATTTTAGTTGGAGAACCTGATGCCATTCCTTAAATTGTTGAAAGCTGGTTAAGTTCTTTTCCGCTATACTTGTAGAAGCAACATCTGAAGATGACCGAATTCCAGTGCGGTACTCAACGCCGAGCAATGGAAATTTAATGGTTGATTCGGCCGACTCGATAGATTTCCGTCTCATGGTTAGGTCTACATCTAAGTTGTTGTTGTTGTTAAAACATATATTGCTAGCATCGGAATTATCAATTTTTTGTGATTCGAGCGATGCTTTAGTCGGAGATAATTTTATACTTGCAACAGAACTCTCAGCAAATATTGAATTAAAAGATTGCAGCATACTGTTGTTTTGAAAATCGTTCCCCTCATTGACAGTATAATCAATTTCTTTAAGTTCTTTCTGATCTCCATTATCGCTATCGCTTAATGAAGTTAAATATGAATCCAAATCGCTTTCAAAATTGGCCTCGGAAATCGCTGCTGCGGCACTCATTTCAGTCTCAATTTTTAAATTATATGTATCCAAAGATGAACTTTTTTTAACTTTTTTGTCCTCTGCGGAAGTGTTTTCCACTTCGCTATCGTCGTCATAACTAGAGCTGCTGCTACTGCTATAATTTATTATTCTTTCCTTTACACCTAGAGCGTTCTCCCTGCACAGTTCATGGTGGAAAAACAGTTTATTGTGAAGCTTAATATCTGAGTAATCTGTTGTATTTGGTTTTAAATGAAATAAATGTTTTAGTTCTAAATCAATAGACCTAATTTGACTTTTTTCTTGTTTTCGGCATGTTCGGCGATAGCGGATATTACGGGGCCTAGAAGCTAGCCTGCATGTTTTCGATTTTACATTACAGTGTTCCAGTGGAATTTCAGTTTGGCATTTAGTTAGATCTTCTTGAAAAGAGTTGGGAAGCGGTTTTTTTACATTTCCCATATCTGAAGTAGTATTTGGTGAGACTGCAGTCATAGAGTTGGCTGGAGAATTAATTTTACTTGGCGTTTTCTTTATTGTCAATACAATATGGTTGCTGCAAGCTCCCCCATCACCTACTGGGCGTTGAACAATGGCATATTCTTCATTATTACTGTTTTCGTATTCATTCTCATTATCATTCTCTGCTCCATTGTCACTATCACTGCTGTTATTATTACTACTCAAATTTGAAAAGGTTCCATTCAAAGATGTTTTAAACCGCTTGACTGAAATATTAAATTCATTTCGTACTTGTTTCTTCTTTTTTATAACATCCTCTGCATAAATTCTTTTATTTTTTCGATGTACTTCTGATTTTGTGCCTGATGAATCTTTCCTTTTATTTCTTAGTTTTTCATTTATGGAGTTTTGAGTTGCTTTTAAACTAGAATAGCTACAACTGCTGGAACTACTAGACCTATAAGGACTGTCATCCTGATATTCGTGATCACTGCTTTTATCAGTTTTATCAGGATCAGCGAAGTGCACTTCATCATTAGCCAATTTTAATAAATTATAACTGAAAGCTTTCACGGAGGACGTACCAAATAATGTCTTCGTTGACGGTGATATATTGATGTTGCAATTAACTTGCGTTGGCACGTGGTTTTCATTATGGCTATTCGTACCAGAAATCGGGACATCAACATTAACCTCAAGCGGGCTGGAACTATTAAATTTATATTCTATGTTACCTTCGGGAATTTCTAAACTTTTAGAAAATGTATTAGCAGTATTCGGAGAGTTCAGCCATTCCTTAACCCTGTTTCTAGCACGTCGACACGTTGGCAAGCACTTTGCTACGCCAAGAAATGGTGCCATTAAAGATTTAAATTGTTTCGCTTTAAAAGGTTTTATAAATTTTAAAGAACTTAGGTCTTTTTTGATTCTATCGGATGTTAGAAGTCCATATTTAGGGACAACATCAGCTCCATCAGTCACTGTGTAAGAGTCCAAGGTGTGGAGACATTTATTCTCAGATTGAAAACTAGAGGCTGAGTCAACACTATCCCAGTTCCCATTTATGTTTGGTATGTAGAAATTATGCAAAGAATTTATGTGAAAACTGGTTACTTTGTTGGTTTGTATATAAAACCTTTGCTTTGCTACGCAATCAGGATCTTCGTGAACTGTAAAGACAGGAAGAACTTCATTGTTTGTTTCACTGCTTTCTTTTTCTTGATTAGTATTGTCAAGTTGAGCATCCGCGTTATTACTTATCAAATTTGACGCAACGTTTTGTATGGGTGCACTAAAAGATACATTTTTGGTATCAGAATTATTTTTTGAATCTTCAAAATTAGCTATTGGCTTTCGAATTTCATCCATTAACGAATACAAAGGATCGTCGTTATCATCAAAATCTAGATCAAAAATTGACTTTACTGGTTTTGGCTGAGTGTCACCTACTTCACCATTATCCACACTTTCAAAATTAAGCAAGTTTTCTTCATGCTTGTGAGAAATGTTCTCCTTATAATTTAAACTAGTTTTTGGATCATTCTTATCCGTATCTGAAGTTGCATTTTTAGACTCTTCTAATGTACTCTGAACTTCCTCGATAACTAGGCAAGTACATGGTACTATTTGAGCTTGGTACATTTTCTCAATTTCCATTTCATTCAGTGGGCTGTTCAAGCTGTGAATTAGGTGCATTAATTGAGTGGTGACATCATTAAAATTGTTCGGCATCAAGTTTTCCGATGTTCTTGCTAAAGGTAAGGTATGGAGTGAATTGCTATTGCTCTCCAATGAAGTACATTCCTTAATTTCCTGCGATTTATTACTATCGTGAGATGGTTCTGAAGTCACCGTATCACTGTCCGTAATTGCAGGTTCTGTAAAGGGAAAATTGTTTTTTTTTAATTTTTAAATATACCAGCAAGGTCGGCCGCAGTTTTGCCTGCGGAAATCAGGACTGCAAGTTTTGAAAATAGATTCAGTTATAATTGCTTATATGCAGTCACACCACGTTAATATATTTAACAAAGAAAATCAAAGAGCCCTTTTGACTTATCTTTCAGTTCGTGTAGCTCAGGTCCAACATTTTTACTCAATTAAAGAAAGCAAGTAGACTGGATCAGAGTAGCAAGACTAAAAAATTATTATAGGGAATTTTTATACCGTTTACCATCAATACTTTTACATTTCCGCGATTTCTTAAGATTGGCCTTAAGGAAAAAGACTTTGGTTGTTGGTTCGGTAGTTTCATGTTAACGAAATTCAAAGATTATTAATTCCATTGGGGATCCTGTTGTCGCGATTTATGACCATCATGTCTCTCTATAATTTTAAAAATATTGCTATATCGTCATCTAAAAAGTTGACACTTTAGGACTCAAGATATATTTTTACCCTGTCTGTGTGTCTGTATGAACGCTGAGATCTCGGAGACTACAAAAGCTAGAAATTTAACAACACAAATTGTTTGGCTCCCTACGCAGAGTTTGTGCCACGCCCACTCTTACGCCCACAGTCGCATTAAAGGACTTACTCTATGTATTAATTATATCCGATACTCGTAGAGTAAAAAGGTATATTGTATTCGTGCAAAAGTATGTAACAGGGAGAAGGAAGCGTTTCCAACCCCATAAAGTATATATATTCTTGATCAGGGTCACTAGCCAAGTCGATCTAGCCATGTCCGCCTGTCTGTCAGTCTGTGTGTATGAACGCTGAGATCTTGGCAACTACAAAAGCTAGAAAGTTGGAATTACCCACACATATTCTTGGGCTTTCTACCCAGCGCAAGTTTATTTAAGCCAAGCGCTGAAACGAACGCTATATTCGGGTGCCCCGACTGTCAGATACCCTTTCCTCAGCTAAAGAGAGTGCAAGGGAGATATAAAACTTTGCTCGGACATAACTTTTTAACGAATGGTCCGATTTGAAAAATTTGTCTTCTACATTTCTATAGGTAGTACACACAAAACAATGCATATTTACTTTTCCGAAATCTTTAATTGTGTGGGCGCCAGACACCTTTTAAAATCGTTTAAGGTGATTATGGTCGTTAGAGGGGGCGTGGCCCTCGGCTGAAACAAACTTGCGCTGCGTGGGAAGAGCCCAAGAATATGTGTGGGTAATCCCAACTTTCTAGCGGACAGACGCACATGGCTAGATCGACTCGGTTACTGATCCTGATCAAGAATATATATACTTTATGGAGTAGGAAAAGCTTCCTTCTACATACTCTTGCACGAATACTATACCCTTTCACTCAAGGAGTAACGGGTATAAAAACATAAAAAAAGTAATTTTAACCCTTGCAGAGGGTATTAAATGGTCAAGAAAATCTTAATAAATAAATAAATATTTATTCCGCACAACCTGAAGATCCCCTAGTTCTAAGGAATTATTTAAGGACAAATTTCTCTGATGGTTGGTTTGATATACTTCATTACCCGCGAATTCAACGTAACTAAAGATATTGACAAGTATTGGTACTTATGTTCAATGTTGGTCCCGTTTGTTATCAAGAAATCGGCCTTAATTGGATCAAATAAAAACACCTCTTAACGAGGTAAAAAACAAGAGAGAACGCTATAGTCGGGTGCCCCGACTATCAGATACCCGTTACTCTGCTAAAGGGAGTGCGAAGGAGATGGAGATAAGAACTTTGATCCGCCGTAACTTTTTAACGAATGGTCCGATTAAAAAAATTTCTTCTACATTTCGATAGGTATTGATAAACACAATACAACTGCATTTTTACTCGTAAAATCGTATATAAGCGATTGTGGGCGTTAAAGGGGGCGTGGCACCCTTTTGAAATAAACTTGCGCTGCGTAGGAGCTCCTAGAATCTGCATGCAAAATGTCAATCTTCTAGCTTTTATAGTTTCCGAGATCTCAGCGTTCATACGGACGGACAGACAGACGGACAGACGGACATGGCTATATCGACTCGGCTAGTGACCCTGATCAAGAATATATATACTTTATAGGGTCGGAAATGCTTCCTTCTAGCTGTTACATACTTTTGCACGAATACAATATACCCTTTTACTCTACGAGTAACGGGTATAAATTCCTCAAGTACCAGAGCTGTTTTTCTATGGTTTTGGTTTTACTCAAAAATTTATTTATTTATTTATATATATCGCCAACGGATAAATCCTTATCTGGCTACATCTTAACTTAAATCTATTATTGAAAAATTGTTGGCCGTTTTTTTACGCAGTTTCAAACACATTCGCTTGGGACAATTTTTCTCACCGTTTTGTAAAAAGGATTTCTTTACCTCTATAACTCAATTGCAGGCTGTTTTGCTTTTAACTTAATAGTTTGACATGTAAAAATGAAGCATTCAGTACAGAAAAATGTCACACACAAAAAAAAAACTTGGTAAAATCAACTGTAATAATTGTCAAACAGGCCCCAACCAGCAAAATTGTCAATTCTAAATAAATAGTCATTTCACAACAACAAAATACACACAATTAGCAAAGACACAAACCCAAAGCAAAAACAAAATACACGTAAATATTTTAATAGTTTCGTAACTATCTTTGTTGGTCAATTTTACCAAGCAAATTTTTTTGTGTGCACATATTGGCATTTCTATAGGATAAATTAACAACAAAAGACAGGTCCAAAAAATAACAAAAAAAAATCCAAAAACTAACTTGCGTATATTGATGGGGTGGGTTTGTCATAAAAATCAAACTATACTCAAAATTTGTAGTTTAGCTCAGGATTCAACTAATTAGAAACTAATATAGCGGCAAAATCATGTGGAAATATGTTTTATTAAAGTTTAAAGGGTTTTGGCATTGTGGACTTTTTGGTGGAAATGCCCATATGTATACACAAAAAAAACTTGGTAACATCAACTGTAATAATTGTCAAACAGGCCCCAACTACTAAGCAAATTGTTACTCTTACGTAATTCGTAAACGTAAGGGTTACTATAAAAAATAGTTATGCAACTATAAAATAGGGTAGAATGTGCCCGAACCATAAATTGTAGTTAACTTACTATTTTTATAGTAAATATACAATTATTTATAGTTATTTTACTTTTATACTAAAGAAGTTACGTTAGGGTAACTATTGTTCATAATTAAACAACTATTTAAAATAGTTTCAAGGTACAAAAACAGAATACACACATCTCGTAATCGTAACTATTTTAATAGTAGTTTAACTATTTAATAGTACGCAAAGCCAAAACAAATACACGGACGACTATTTATACCCGTTACTCGTAGAGTAAAAGGGCATATTGTATTCGTGCAAAAGTATGTAACAGGGAGAAGGAAGCGTTTCCGACCCTATAAAGTATTTATATTCTTGACCAGGATCACTAGACGAGTCGATATAGCCATGTCTGTCTGTCCGTCGGTATGAACGCTGAGAATTTGTAAACTACAAAAGCTAGAAAGTTGCGATTGTCCACACATATTCTTGGGCTTCCTACGTAGCGCAAGTTTATTTCAGCCGAGCGCCACGCCTTCTCTAACGCCTACAAACGATTTTAAAATGTGTCTAGCGCACACATTTTTAAAGATTTCGGAAAGGTAGGGGAGAGGTCTGTAGGTTGGGATGGTCTGTAAGTTGAGACACTCAATTTTCTCAAAACTTTTCCACTAAAAAAAATGGATTTTATTTTTTTTTGTAGTCCTTTTTAGTGACAAAACTTTTGGGAAAACATTATAAGCCAGGCTCTAGCCAGATTTAAGCTGTGAGAGTCGTGTACCATTTTATACCAAAAAAGTTTTTGTCAGAAAAAAAGGTTTTAATTTTTTCCCGAAACATCCTAAAAGGCCTTAGCCCGACAGAGGTCGCTTTCTTCCTAGTACATTTCTTTGATATTAGGGGAAAAGTGCTTGTTTAATTTGGTTTAAGTTCTTAAAAAATGGATGGGAAATAATTTAGGACGAACTTAAATTGGTTAAATTAACATAAATAAATTGTTTTTAAAAGTTTGGACTACTTTTGGTGTGAGTATTATTGACTTATAAAAGTGTCCCAACTTACAGACCTCTTTTTCAAAATGTCGTTTTTTGACACTTTTCAAAAAAAATTAATTTTTACTTTTCCCTAACAAAAAAAAAATTTTTTTTTGTTTTTTTAAAGCTAATAGACTAACCTTTCGATCAGTACCAAATACGTGAAGTTTCACAAGTGAATGTCGAAATGGCAGATTAAAAACAAAAGGTGTACCAACCTACAGACCTCTCCCCTATAAATGCAATTTGGCTGCGTTTATTTATACCTATTGAAATGTAAATTTATCAAATTTTAAACTTTTTTAAAAGTTATATATCTCCGTCTCCCTCGCACTCCCTCGAGCTGAGTAACGGGTATCTGATAGTCGGGGTAGTATTCCGACTATAGCGTCCTCTTCTGTTTCCCTATAAGTTTTTGTACAAACCTTCTATTTTGCTTGTAAAAGTAGCATTGCCCGAAAAAGATTCCAAAATTTGTGGAGAATGCATTGAAGTGTCTAAAACATTTAGATAAATAATTAATCATTGCGCAATGAGTTTTTCCAAAAACATACCTGAGCAAGACGACGTTGGTCTTGGAAAGATAGCACGGGAAGCCAGTTCTCGATTGGTTGACGAATTTGAAAGATTACTGGTTGACGATTGCATGGAAACACTTAATTTTCTGCTCTGAATTTCGTTAAAGAGTTCCTTCGTGGTCTTTACTTTTTTAACGGTTGAGCCCCCAAAAAATATTTGTTGCGACAGGCTAGATGACTCCTTGGCGATAAGACCGTCCACACCTTTTGATCCTTTTTTTCTACCACGTCTTTTTGGAATTTGAGACTGGGAGGAGTTTTCCAAATACTCAGGTCTACTATTTGGATCATAGCCCATGCCGGAAGAAGGCATTGCTATCTGAATAGCAGATGCATTGTGTAATCGAGCATCAAATAAATTCTCGGACTTTCTTACTTCTTCGACAGTTGATGGAGATAGACGGCTACATGATGCACTTGAGTCGTAAGCACTATATTCATCAAATTTTTGCTTCCCTGATTCAGTGTTTCGAAACACACTGTTTTGTCCGGCCAAAAAGCTTGAATTACTGTGGTTCGAAACATCCAATTGGTTAACCGACTTAAATCTGCCGGTAAATGTCAACTCGCTTGAGCTTAATCGAGTCTTATGCTGGGAATTTCCCAATGTAGCATCCCCAGATAAAATTGAGCTCATAGAACTGTTTGAAAGGGAAAAAATTTCTGAAAATATAATAAAAAAAGGGATTTCCTTCTAATTCAAGCATTAATATCAAAATATGTATCGTTACGTCACGAAACATTTATAAAAAAAACTTTTGTTTTTTTTTTTAAATCATACCTGAATCTGCTGCGAGAGCAGACTGTAGCAATCCGTCGCTAACTTTTGAACCAAATCTTATGTTTTGTGCGACCTGCCCTTCTCTATCCTTACTTCTTTTCTCTTTTTTTAATTTTTTCTGCCGAGAGCTTGGCGTTGTTGGAATTGCAAGGGGCGCTGGCACCACCAAGTTGGATTTTTCTTGCTTCGACACACAGTTGTTGTCGTTCTCATCGGAATCGGATACAATGTCAATGACAACTGAAGCTTCGTTCATCTTCTCGGCGCTGACATCGGTTAGGTTGAATACGGAATTGACCGACTGTTCAATTATGATCGGCTGAGGAGAGCTCTGGTGCCTACTAAGTGTGGGCTGTGGTTGGCGCCGGTCCTTGTTATTGTGCAGTGTCGTTACAGAGTTTTTTTGGTCACGCTCGCAATCATGGATATTGTTGACCAGGTTTGAGAAGTTCGTATGAAGTTGGGTGTGCACACCCAAAGGCGCAGGCTCAGAAGAGTCGATATTTAGTTGCATGTGTGAAGCAATTTGCTGCGAAGACAACGCTTGAGAGAACGGTAGATGAGCAACTGGCTCGCTCATGTGGACACCGCTGTCTGGTGCCACCGCTGCGGACTTTACAAAGTCTGATACTAGCTGCGTGGGTTGGGAAACAATTTGACTGGGATGTGGGAGACTTTCAGTGGCCGTTTGCTGAATCCCCACCATTTCCCTCCACTTCTTTAGCAAGGACTTTGCGCGTCGAGCCAAATGCTCATTTTTGGTCCTTCTTCTCAGCTGATTAATGTACTTAGCCAGTCTGGTGGCCTCCAGCTGCTCCTTGGTGATTGGTGTGCCTTCCAGTGCACATATAACAGAGAGCACTGTATCCATGTTGACGACCTAGAAACATCGTTTATAAAGATATAAAGACCGATTTGTTAAACAGATAACACACTTTCTTACATCGTAGTTTTGATCAAGTGCCTGCGATAGGTGAGTGGTAAGTTGCTGGATTTGGTTTTGGTTCATTTATATCTTCCGGATTGCAAAGCCTCTGGTCCAGATTCAAGGAACAGCAAACGGCGAAAGGCGAGTTCTGTTCAAATTTTTTAAATGAGAGAAAGTAGCATGTGAAAACAAAATGTATTTGCTGTAAAAATTGTATTCATTTTGTCTGTAGTTTTGTATTAAAATTTTTTAAATCAAGAAAAGATTTCATCTGTTTTTATACACAAAATCCAACAATTGTAACTTAAGAAATGCTTCAAAACAAAAATGTGTTTTCTGAAGACCAAAATATTCCAAAATTATAATGTAATTAATGTATGCAATGAATATCTGAAAAAACACACATACTAAAGCACGATGTATATTGGCCAATCGTTATGCTTACAAATTATAGCTACACAATTAAATTGTAAAGTCTGTGTTCCCTCGACACACTTCCTTGAACACGAAATTGTTTATATTCGTCACAAAATAAAGTAAATTAATAATTTATCATCAGTTCCCCGACTCCATCGCAATTCGCCATTTTCACCATTGACAGCTGCACTACTCTGCGGGTGGGAAGAAATCGATAAAAAGAAATATCGCTACTTTTCACGTGTACTTGTTATAATATAACAGCCTGTTCATACTGTGCCGCATCTACGGCAGGTCCCAGTCTCCACCATCAGTCTTTGTCGTAATCTTGTAAATTGTCGATAAGCTACGCGATAGGTAAGGCTCTCCCCCAGTCAGCAATATGTATGCATACTCGTTATAAGAGCTCAAATATGTTTTAAACTCCTATCTTATGCTATTTAGTGTATTATTCTCAGGAACCCTACTCATTATAAGTGAAAAAATAAAAATTACCATTTAATGATTATTTGTAAGCGAAAAAAAATATCGCTCAGAAATAATGATTATTATGTGAGCGATATTAAGGGCTGTCCATATATTACTTAATCACGTTTTTGGTGATTTTTGACCCCCTCAATAAACAACCCCCCCCCCCCTCCCAATGATTACGTAATCCCAAGAATACAATTTTTTTTGTTTTAATCTGTGGATTCAAACGGAGATGCAACCCAATCTTTAATATTGTTTATAAATGAAGTTTGGTATGACACATTCGGTTCGTCCACGGTGATATTATCTCCATCATACTCTTCGTCAAGCCATTTCGTGTGATTGAACCACTAAACATTCTCTTTTTCGCCTCTCCATGTAATCAAACATAATCATTTCAATGACCCCCTCCCCACCCCTAGCTGATTACGTAATATATGGCCAGCCCCTTATTTCGCTTAAAAATATCACTCAAAGTGCGTTTGCAGCCGTTCTGTACGGAATTTTAGAAAGATTTAAATTTGTGCTTGTAGGTAGAGCCACGGAGCACATATTGAGTTAATAAAATAAGGTGTTTTTTTTGTATAAACTTTTAACAACGCTGTTATTAGTTTACAAGAGGTATGCATAAAAACAAAGAGTTGTAGCAACCTTAGGACTTTATCTTGTTTATATAGTAGCAAAACGACTTAACAAGATCTTATGAACTATTTCACATAGATCCAACCCGACATGTGGGCTGGGTGTTAGTGTGTTGGTCTCCCGTGCTGTAAGCACGAGTTCGATTCCCACAGAAAGTGTTTTTTTTCTACAAAAGTCAGCCGTTTTTAAGCGGTTTATACAAAGAACATTTTTTTTAGCTGGATATGTGCTTCGTGGTTCTACACATTTTAATAATTGTAAAATTCCGCGTAGGACGGCTGCAATCACACTTTAAGTGATATTTTACGCGAAATAATATCGCTCACAAAATAATCATTATTTCTGAGCGATATTTTTTTTCGCATACAAAATAATCATTAAATGGTGATTTTTATTTTTTACTCAAAAAAAAAATCATTATTTTCGGTCCCTGATTATTCTACAATACGATTATGAGAACGCAATTTAACGACAGTTTTGCTGAGTTGAAATCCCCCTTCGGTTATGATGGGTTAAGCAACTGCTCCTCAAGTCCGCTGTTATCGGATGGTGTATGTGCTCTGTGGAAACACGAGTTTCACATTTGTCAAAAATCCCAACCGTTTCACACGGACTCTATGGGAAGAGGCTATAAAACACTTTGCGGTTTTTTGGTATTTTTGTTAATTTTCGACTGGCAACGTGAGGTGTTTCCATTGGCAAACGCGTTTGAAAACAGCTGTTCTGTGAAATTGTCAGTCGCAAGCTAAAGAAAACGAACGATTTAAGTAATTGGTTATTGATAATTGTAATCGCAGAACAGCATTTGCACAGCGTAAATATATGTGCCAGCAGTTGGTGAAGATCCAAATAAAGATCGGGCCATCATATATGTATTCGGGAGTCCAGACAACAAAAAGCAAATGGATCTGCTGCAGCAGAAGGGAGAGGTGCCATTTCCAGCAGTTCTTCGAGGACGGTAGCACCACCAGCAAAGTAAAATAAGATAAGGAGCAGCATTCAGTGGCAGTAAACAAATCAGGAGGTGGTCATGCTGCTTTCTGTCGTCGCCAGACAAAGTGTGTGTCACTTAAATATGGAATAGCCGTCGATGGTCGAATCATAATTTGGTACCTGCGCACAAAGTGTTACCAGGAGGTCGCCTTGATGGCAGGCCCATGTGCCTGCGCTACAACGACCAATTGGTCGATTTCGATCCTTTCTAGCTGAGACAATCCATTGGGTAGACGTACTGAAAAGTACCACAAATTTGATCTTGCAGCCCTGTAACGCGAAAATATTCCACCACGCGTTAAGCCTAGTACTCAGTACGACGAAAACTGCTAGCTAAGCATAGGAGCCAGCGAGAGGCAAATAGGTAGCTAAGGCCTTTAGCTGGGACTTTTTTCCACGGCGGTACTCAGTTGAGCTAAGGAAACAATAAGGAAATACCAAAAAAATACTAGATTTAGCGGATGAATTCCGATGAACGCTTTTAGCCGCGGCCCAAAGAATAAAGCCTAGTACTCAGTTCGGCTAAGAGTTTTACTAGTCGAAAAATATTAATATTTTAGGGTGACCGAAGTTTTCGGAGTTCATCCGCAATGCATGTAGAATGGTCTTACTCTTAGCAAGCAAATTAACTGGCGCCAATTTTGAAATATTACAAAATGATTAGCCGACCTAGGTCGCAAGCTTTAAATTTGCTGTTGGAATGAGGATATGTATTGCTACAACTCCTACAGGCAGTTTTCCATTGGTTTTTGGGGGTTTCATTCTATTTATAATATGTTATTGGCATACCGCTTCTGCACAAACACAGCCAAAGATCAAATTTTTTATTCTTTGGGCCGCGGCTAAAGGCGTTCATCAGAATTCATCCGCTAAATCTAGTATTTTAGTGGTATTTTCTTACTATTTCCTTAGCTCAACTGAGTACCGAGGTGGGAAAAAGTCCCCGGCTAAGGGCTTTAGCTACCTATTTGCCTCTCGCTTACTCCTATGCTTAGCTAGCAGTTTTCGTCGTACTGAGTACTAGGCTTTAGCCAAAGCCTAGTACTCAGTTCGGCTAAGAGTTTCACTAGTCGAAAAATCGTATTCTTTTAGTGAGACCGAAGTTTTCGGAGCTCATCCGCAATGCATGTAGCATGGTCTTACTCTAGGCAAACAAATCAACTGGCGCCAATTTTAAAATATTACAAAACGTTGAGCCGATCTGGGTCGTAAGCTTTAAATTCGCTGTTGGAATGGCGATATGTATTGCAGCAACTCCTACAGGCAGTTTTCCATTGGTTTTTGTGGTTTTCCTTCCATTTATAAATTGTTATTGTCAACCCGCTTCTGCACAAACACAGCGAAAGATCAAATTTTGTATTCTTTGGGCCGCGGCTAAAGGGGTTCATCGGAATTCATCCGCTAAATCTGGTATTTTTTTGGTATTTCCTTACCATTTCCTTAGCTCAACTGAGTACAGCAATAGAAAAAAGTCCCAGCTAAAGGCTTTAGCTACCTATTTGCCTCTCGTTTACTCCTATGCTTAGCTAGCAGTTTTCGTCGTACTGAGTACTAGCCCTTCAGTTCTGGCGTCCCATGTCGGGGACAATTCCTTAGGCCAAACGCTCGGCCGCTGTCGACGTCAGCAGAGCAGTCGGTATTTATATATTGCGCTCTCTTTCCTTGTCTTATAATTTGTTGTTGTACTGAAGGAAAAAGCGGAACACCCATACAATTTTCTCTATGTGGCATCCTCGGTTCGTCCTGAGGTACAAATGACATGTCCTCGGGCTTTCCTTTGGTGATTACTGAGGGAAAAGTGACATCTGGAACTGAAGGGAGGCTATAGGGGTAATACATGCACAGCCAATACCCCTATTTAAATTTTCTATGTTTTTATTGTATCCGTGCAAAAGTATGTAACAGGGAGAAGGAAGCGTTTCCGACCCTATAAAGTATATATATTCTTGATCAGGATCACTAGGCGAGTCGATCCAGCCATGTCTGTCTGTCCGTCTGTCTATCCGTCTGTCCGTCCGTATGAACGCTGAGATCTCGGAAACTTCAAAAGCTAGAAGGTTGAGATTTTCCACACATATTCTTGGGCTTCCTTCGCAGCGCAACTTTATTTCAGCCGACCGCCACAGCTCTCTTATGCCCACAATCGCCCACTAACAATTTTAAAATGGGCGCTCACACCTTTAAAGATTTTCGAGAAGTACAAATTCAATTTTGTTGTGTAACGAAATGTAGAAACTTTTCAAATCGGACTATTTATTAAAAAGTTATACGCACTCAAAAAAATTTTATATATCCATCTCCCTTGCACTCCCTTTAGCTGAGTGACGGGTATTAGATAGTCGGGACAGTCTTGTTTTCTTTTTATTAGGAACGGTACTGTCCCGACCCGGCAATCTTATCGGACTCTTAGCTCTTCAGACGGAACTCATACAGCATTTGCCATACATTATTCAGGACAATACGAATCTATATTCCTGACAAAATCTGACCTGCGTAATCCAGGCAAAATACTTACATTAACATGTTTTTCCACGCCAGGAAAAGTTATGTTCCCCTTCCCATTACTCCCTGATAAAATTCAATCGCTTTCAATTAGTTTTAAATTTATATTTCAGAGTATGCGCATTTTGATTCGATTGCATTGTTAAAGATTAAAATTAATAAGGTTAGCGGGAAATGATATTCTGACTGATTGTACATTTTGACCCTTTCTTCAAAGACAATACATTCTGTGAATTTTTTGAAAATATACATTTTAATCACCAGCATAATAAACACCAGCAATACGAAAAGCGGCTTACTGCCGGAATAGGAATACTATTAGTTTTTATAACAACATAGCAATGTGTTTACTAAGTATGCACACAAGTCAATTTAAATAATTAACTCGAAAGTAATCATGAAAATATACGACTAAGTGAATATATGTATACTTATGTATTTTAGTGGCTTCTATTAGACTACGTTCGAGTATTTGGACGCATACAAATTTGACATTTACATATGAATCTATTTGAGTTTGTATATTTTACAAATATTAAACGATACTAACTACCTATTTGAGTACGTCTAAACTGGAGTATATTTCTATGGCTACAGCATTGGTGCGTAAATGGCACAAAAATTGCAATGTTCCCAAGACCGAATGTCTTGCGAACTATGGTTTCACAAATTATCTATATTTATACGCGTGTAATGGCACTTGAACTGAAACTTATATGGCTAAATCAAACAGTGACTATCCTAACCGTTTTGTATTTACAAAGCTGATTACATTTAATTATCTCCCTCCCTTCTGTGCTATGGAGAACTGGTACGTCTCGTCAGAATTGTCACTATCCCGTTATTGGCCTGGCAATCGCCGTCCCCACCTTAATCGTCCAGCTCGCGCTGAGATGCCAACTCCACTTCGTCGGAGGAAAAGCCAGAGGGCGATAAGCTTTCCGGCGGGTAGAAGAACTGCTGAGGGGGCGTGTGCCCGCAGTCGTTGCCATGAACGGTAGACGCTGCTGCAGATGCCATATCCTGCAAATGGTAAACAGCTGCAGCGGCTGCAACCGCCGCCTGGGCGTTTGATCCACCGGGGTGTCCTTTTGGACAGGGATCGGCGCAGGCACTTCCAGAGCCACTGACCCCGCCGGTCCGACACCATAGCTGTCTCATCTCAGCCCGCCGATTGCGCATCAGGACTTTATATTCGGAAATACGCATCTTTTTGCCATCTACAATGCAGGTGCGCTTCGGTCGTGGTCTGTAGCGGTAGTCCGGATGCTGCTCCATGTGAAGCTTTGAGAGCCTTGACTGTTCCTCGTAATATGGCTGCTTGTCGGCGTTAGACATTGCTTTCCAGCGCGCACCCAGGATTTTCGATATATTCGAGTTATGCATGTCCGGACATGCCTTCAAAATCTTTCTTCGCTCATCCTTTGCCCACACCATGAACGCATTCATAGGCCTCTTGATGTGCGGCTTGCTATGCCCGTGCCCGTGGCTATGACCGTGTCCATGTCCATGCCCATTGCCTTGCCGCAGTGGATGTGACGACGGTGACGGAGGTACAGGGCCAATTTGACTTGGGTTAATGGTTTCTGGGTCCAACGCAGCAGATCTTTCTGAATTCGTACCACAACTGTTCACTGAGTCCCGACTCATGCGCGTTGCACGTGATCCTCCAGAACCGACGACAGCTGAGTTCCAAACTCTTCCCTGGAAAGAAATGCACAAGAAAAAGTTTAATATTAACTCCGAAACCATAATATATTTTATTAGATGCGCTATGCACTACACTCATCATGTTTCATATTTCACATGCATGTTTTGATTTCCCACATTTTTGAAAAGAACCTTTGCTTGCTCTTACGAAAGAAATTAAGTATGGGAGGTGAAAAAACTGAAACCTCAATCTCATCCAGGATTATGATAGAATTTGGTGAGCAACAAATGCATTTGAAAACAAGACAGAACGCTCTAGACGAGTGTCCCGGCAATCAGAGATCAGGACATGGCTAGATCAAATCGGCTGGTGATCCTAATTAAGACAAGAGAGAACGCTATAGTCGGGTGCCCCGACTATCAGATCCCCGTTACTCAGCTAAACGGAGTGCGAAGGAGATGGAGGTAAAAACTTTGATCCGCCGTAACTTTTTAACGAATGGTCCGATTAAAAAATTTTTTTCTACATTTCGATAGGTATTCACAAACACAATAAAACTGCATTTTTACTTTTCCGAAATATTGAAATTGTTAAAATCGTATATTAGCGATTGTGGGCGTTAGAGGGGGCGTGGCACCCTTTTGAAACAAACTTGCGCTGCGTAGGAACAAAATGTCAATCTTCTAGCTTTTATAGTTTCCGAGATCTCAGCGCTCATACGGACAGACAGACAGACTGACAAACGGACATGGCTATATCGAATCTGCTAGTGAACCTGATCAAGAATATATATACTTTATAGGGTCGGAAATGCTTCCTTCTAGCTGTTACATACTTTTGCACGTACTTTTTTACACTACGAGTAACGGGTAAAAATATACAGTGCAATACAATATTCCAGTTAAGCGAGAAAAACACGGGAAAACAGGAAGTGTTACACTCACATGACTCTTCAAAAGAGGTGACTCTATCTCGGCATAATGTTGTTGCCCTTGATGCCAGCTAAGGGGTGGACTGGACACAACGGGAGTAAGGCTTTCGCTGTGATCCCTTTGGGAAGAGCTGTTCGGCGAAGAACTGGGCGATCCCTTTGGCTTGCTGAGATTCAGTGGAGCATCCATTTCCGAGTCTTGGGCTTCAGAGAGGCTCGCCATGCTGTGATTGTCCATCGGAGATGGTGGAAAGTTTTTGGAACATTCAGCTGTTCGCCCATGTGGAGATTCCGGAGGTGTGTTGTGGCTATAAGAGAGGATTGCATAAGGTGGGTTTTCGTATGCTGGGGACTCTGGCCTTGACAAGCTTGCCCCTCCATTCCCGCCTCTTCTCATCTCTCCGATCTCCATCAGTGGCAGAGAGACGGAGGAATCTGCGCTCGATGGCTCATTAGCAATATTTGATGAAGCGAGTACGTTGTTGTTGCTAGAAAAATTGTTGCTGCTTTGATTGCTATTGGCAGCTGCTACCGCTGCAGCCGCCAGGGCCGCCTGAATGTGCGCAGCCGCCACCGCCGCAGTGGACCACATAGGAGCTAGGGCCATTTTGTGTGCGCTGGATGGCTCGTTTTGCGGGTGACTGTGGTGGGCGACAGTTTGGGGACTCGCATGGCCAGGAATAAGCTGCAAAAGCTGCTGAGCAGGCATTGGGGGCTGTAGGAAGGCCGGAAGGAATGGAACCAAGTTTCCGGAAGACACGGAAACTGCCTGCTGCTGGTGGTGGGGGTTCGGTGCTGCAAATCGAGCTGCCCCAAACTGACTGCTCAGTTGATTGTGCAACTCTTGAAGGCAGCTTTCGTGTTGCAGCCTCTGCACGTTTTGGAGGTGTTGTTGCTGTTGAGCACTTGCATCAATGTCGGTCATGCTAACGTAATGGGTCTGAAAAAAAAAATATTTTTTCCTGTTAGTATGTGCAAACAAACGAATTATACTGTCTAAGACTTTAATCAATTAAAACAAGAGAGAACGCTATAGTCGAGGTCCTCGACTATTAAATACCCGTTACTCAGCTGTACAACTTTAATATAAATATGCCATCTTGTATGTTTTTTGCGCCCCATTTCAAATAATTTACATTTTGCATTCACATATTCCAAATTAGAGTGACCAGCTTTTTTCCAACACCAGCAAGAGTTTTGAACACGCGGCGCCATCTATGGCAAGGAATTGGTACTGGGTGTACACAAAACTGTGGGCGCAACGGCTTTTTGCGGTTTGTGGGCGTTAGAGGGGGCGTTAGAGGGGGCGTGGCACCTTGATAAAATAAACTTGCGGAAATCCCAACCTACTAGCTTTTGTAGTTTCCGAGATCTCAGCGTTCATACAGACAGACAGACGGACAGACGGAGGACGGACACGGCTAGATCGACTCGGCTAGTGATCCTTATCAAGAATATATATACTTTATGAAGTCGGAAACGCCTCCTTCCAGTTCCTTTTGTAGTTTCTGAGATCTCAGCGTTCATACAGACGGACAGACGGACATGGCTAGATCGACTCGGCTAGTGCCCCTGATCAAGAATATATATACTTTATGGGGTCGGAAACGCTTCCTTCTAGCTGTTACATACTTTTGCACGAATCTAATATACCCTTTTACTCTACGAGTAACGGGTATAAAAATGCAGTTTTATTGTGTTTATCAATACCTATCGAAATGTATAATTTTTTAAATCGGATCATTCGTTAAAAAGTTAAGGCGGATCAAAGTTTTTATCTCCATCTCTTTCGCACTTTCTTTAGCTGAGTAACGGGTATCTGATAGTCGGGGCACCCGACTATAGCGTTCTCTCTTGTTAAAAAATGTAATGGCTACATCTAACATAATTGGTTTTTATACAATTTTATAAAGAAACAAGAGAGAACGCTATAGTCGGGTTGGTGTCCCGACTATTTAATACCCGTCACTCAGCTAAAGGGAGTGCGAACGCTGTACTCGGGTTGGTGTCCCGACTAGCTCAGCTAAAGGAAGTGCGAGGGAGATAGATACATGTAGATATTTTGATTGCGTATAACTTTTTAATGAATGGTCCGATTTGAAAAATGTCTTCTACATTTCGATAGGTATAAATATACACAACAAAATTGCATTTATTCTTCTCGGAAATCTTTAAAGATGTGGGCGCAGGACACATTTTAAAATCGTTAGTGGGTGATTGTGGGCGTTAGAGGGGGCGTGGCGCTCGGCTGAAATAAACTTGCGCTGCGTAGGAGGCCCAAGAATATGTGTGCAAAATCTCAACCTTCTAGCTTTTGTAGTTTCCGAGATCTCAGCGTCCATACAGACGGACAGACGCACATGGCTAGATCGACTCGGCTAGTGACCCTGATCAAGAATATATATACTTTATGGGGTCGGAAACGCTTCCTTCTAGCTGTTACATGCTTATGCACGAATACAATATACCCTTTTACTCTACGAGTAACGGGTATAAAAAATAAGTTCCTGGACTTAAAAATGGAAGAAAGCATCTTTTGAAAAAAAACGATAAGGGAATATAACTTTGGCATGTGTAAATAGAAAATATGACAAATATACAACAAAATATTGGCAAATGTCTTGAAAAACAACCAATTTTGACATAATTTATTCATTCATTCATTTTATAATGACTCGTAGCTGTTTAACTGAAATCGCAAAGCGCATTTAAATAGACGGACGTAGCTATATCAACACGTCTAGTGATCCTGATCAATTAGGGGAGAGGTCTGTAAATTGAGACACCATATTTTCTCAGAACTCTTCAACAAACAAATTTTCTTTTATTTTTGTATACCCTTGCAGAGCCACTCAAAATAAATTTAACCCTAAATTTTAGAAAATCGCCATTAAAATTTCTTTTTTCTAAATACAAGAAAGTTATTTCTAAATCTAAGGAAATTTTGCTTAAGTCAAGAAAGTTTTCCTTAAATCCAGGAAGTATTTCTTAAATGTAGAAAATGGTTACCATGAACTAAAATCACCCTAAAATCTAGAAAAAATGCCCTTAAAATTAGAAATAATTTTCTGAAAAATAGAAAGGCAAACGAAAATAATAAAATATTTTGGCAACACTTTTTCTAAAAATGAGTGCCCTAACCCTAAAATTAAGCTAACCCTAAATAATAGAAACATTTTCTAAAAAGTAGAAAGTTTTTCTAAAAAATAGAAATAGTTGTTTTCACATGCTCTGGCACACCAAAATGTTCAATGCCAGAACTTGTCAGCTGCCGGGCGGCTGTACTCGTAGCGCAGACGGTTAAAGCGCTTGGTTAGAAATCGAATCGACCCTGGTTCGAGTCCCAGAGCAAACTATTTTTTACCTTTTTTTTTTTAAGTTTTTTTAAATTTTCTTTTAAAGTTTTTTTTTTTAAATTTGTTTTTTTACTCTTTTTTTTATTCCTTTTTTTTATTGGTGGCAAGCGGTAAACCGAAAATAATTTGGTTTATATTTAGCTATTTACTATATACTACACATAATATAAATTGCGATAGCATAAATATATACATAAGTATATATGTATGTAAATAAGTAAAACGCGAATGGTCAAAATTATGCAATAGTATTCAAATGTATTCTCCGCTTGACCCTTTACATACAATGCTCGGTTTGCCACAGCGAATTTAAGTGCTACAATGGCCCAGTATGTAGGCCGTTCGCTCCTCGCGCGGGAGACCCGGGTTCACCGACGGACAAGTAAAAATGTAAGTTTTTTTCATGAAGATAAAATATTAACTAATCATAATTTCTACATTCCCAATCTTCCGCAGTCCCGTAGTCCACATTTACAACAACATTTGGCTTTGGTTAGATAAGAAATCCAAGCGCAAATACATAATAATAAATACATAACCTTTAAAATTCACAATATACAAGGCACACAACGCCTGCATATGTATATAGGGAGGAGTACATAATATAAACGTATATACAAAAAAAAATCATGATTGAACATGTTTTTTTGTTTTCTTTTTAATTTCTACTTTTTAGGAAAATTTCCTACTTTTTAGAAATTTTTGCCCTTAAATTTAGTAAAATTACCCTAAAAAACGACGTCAAACAAAATCAAAAAATATAGAAAAATGTGACCCTAAAATTTAGGGCGAGCTTGTCTTGAAGACAAAAGTAAAGCGATTTCCTTGACTTTAGGGTTAATTTTATTTTGAGTGAGGGTATTATGATTTCAGTCAGAAGTTTGCATCGCAGTGAAGGAGACGTTTCCGACCCCATAAAGTATATATATTCTTGATCAGCACCAATAGCGGAGTGCACCTAGCCATGTCCGTCTGTCCGTCCGTCTGTCTGTCCGTACGTCTGTCTGCCCGTTTCTACGCAAACTAGCCTCTTAGTTATGAAGCTATCGTCTTGAAACTCTTCCAAAAGTTTTCTTTCTATTGCAGGTAGTATATAAGTCGGAACCGACCGGATCGGACAACTATATCTTATAGCTCCCATAGGAAGAAACGAAAAAAAAACTTTAAAAAAATTCTAGCTTCGGTGTTTTTTAAAATATTACCTTCTAGTCTTGGGAATATTATTTTTTAAACATTTCTGAATTTCGATTTAAATATTTTAAAAATCGGACGACTATATCATATAGCTCCCATAGGAACGACCGAAAAACAAGAGAGAACGCTATAGTCGGGTTGGTGTCCCGACTTTCTAATACCCGTCACTCAGCTAAAGGGAGTGCGAACGCTGTACTCGGGTTGGTATCCCGACTAATAATCGTAACTCAGCTAAAGGGAGTGAGAGGGAGATAGATATATAAATTTTGATTGCGTATAACTTTTAAATGAATGGTCCGATTTGAAAAATGTCTTCTACATTTCGATAGGAATAAATATACACAACAAAATTGCATTTTTACTTTTCGGAAATCTTTAAAGATGTGGGCGCAGGACCCATTTTAAAATCGTTAGTGGGCGATTGTGGGCGTTAGAGGGGGCGTGGCGCTCGGCTAAAATAAACTTGCGCTGCGTAGGAAACCAAAGAATATGTGTGGGAAATCTCAACCTTCTAGCTTTTGTAGTTTCTGAGATCTCAGCGTTCATACAGACAGACAGACGGACAGACAGACGGACAGACGGACAGACGGACATGGCTAGATCGACTCGGCTGGTGATCCTGATCAAGAATATATATAGTTTATAGGGTCGGAAACGCTTCCTTCTACCTGTTACATACTTTTGCACGAATCTAATATACCCTTTTACTCTACGAGTAACGGGTATAATAAATGGGAATGTAATAGGAAATAAATGTTAGCTTTTTTGTTTTTTTTTGTATTTTCTTCTACTGTAGGACATGACTCTTTTTAAATATTTCCGAATTTTAATTTTATCAAAATCGGACGACTATATCATGAAGCTGCCATAGAAACGATCGAAAAATTAATGTAAAATAATAGGAAATTTAACATTTTTTGTGATATGTCAATTAATAGAATGATCTGCAAGGGTATATAAGCATCGGCTTGCCGAAGCTAGCTTCCTTTCTTTCTTTCTTTTTAATATTTCCGAATTTTGTATTAAATTTAACAAAAATCAGACGACTATATTATATAGCTGCCACGGGGAAGGACAGAAAAAATAATGTCAAAAAAATACGAAATTTAACATTTTGGCGATTTGTGTATTAATAGGAACGATCGGAACGATCGGAACGATCGGCCAGCCAAAGCTAGCTTCCTTTCTTGTTTTCAAGTAGTTTTTGATTACAAAACTTTTGTGTTTAACATTCGAAGCCAGGCTCAAGCAGTGACACTCGTGTACCATTTTTTACAAAAAAAAGTTTATTTTCACTTTTTTAAAATTTGAATAGCGCGCTAAAATTAATTTGGTAAGATGTTTAAAACATTAGTAATTAAACTGTAAACAAATTAAAAAAATTATAAAA